TCCCATTGGTGGGCGCGCACCGCCGCGCGCTGATTGGGCGTCGCCGGCGGCGCTGTTGCCAGGGGAGCGGAGCAGGGCAGTCCGCAGCTCGGTGCCCCTTCCTCGGGCACCGCGGCCGGTGGCGAGTGGCTCCGGGGGGACCGGGCACCCCTCCGGCTCTGCCAGCGGGCCCTGGGACACGGGGGCCGGCAAACACAGCGCACAGCCTCCGGCCGAGCGGGCAGAGCTGGGAAGCCGGCCGTGGCCTCAAGCTTGGAGGCTGCACCCAGGCACGTACAGGCTGGGGCCTGCTGCGTTCGCCTCCCTGACCTGTGAATTCCTCCTCCGCAGGCCGCAGCGGCCGTGGACGGGGCTCTCCGTAACTTCCCCTCAGTGCACACTTGGTGTGCGACACACGCCTTCAGTTGGGACGGGCCCAGGGCGCGGCTGCAGGGCTCCATCACAGCCTGCCCGCTGAGCAGGCACAGCACCTGCAGGGCCCTTGAAGCAGAGGGGGCTCGTAGGGCTGTGTGCCTGAGCTCACTGCACATCTTGTGCTTCTGTTTCTATACACCAAAAATCTCAGGCTAACGCAGCTGAAAGTTCTGGAGGCTTCCCCTACTCAGCTTTACCCTGGATGACTTTCTCGGGCCAGTGCCTGATGTTCAAAATGCAATCACAGTAGTCAAGGTTTGAATGCGAGGCCATGAACTGCGGGTAACAACAGAGCCACCAGCATTGTAAGGAAAAAAGAATAATGAGATTATTGCAGTTTAAATTACTAAGCAACAGTCTCTCTGACAATGAACTTAGTAACGCTCTGCCATCTAGTTAATCACACTAATGAGACAGAACAACTCCACTTAGATACAAATTACTATGCATTTCATTTAAGTAAAGGTCAGAGAGCTAAAAGCTACACAAGCCACCACACTTCTGCTGCACAACACACCCAGAAACAGGCATCCTCTTTTTCTAGAAGGGACCCAGTGTTTCTGGCTCCGAGCTGCCAAGGCAGGGCTGCATAGGGCATCTTGCTCAAACCTCCCACTCCTGCCTCCCGACTGCCTGCCTGTGTGTGGGCCTCCGGCTTCTCTGGCTCGGGAATGGTCCTTGGTTTGGAGAGGTGAGCATTGGTTTACCAAAGAGGTTTAGAGGGTAAGAGATCTCTGGTTTCTAATTGTTCTAAAGTAAAAGCATAAATAGAGTCTTGTGTAAGAGACAATTATACCCCTCGGTTCTCACTGCATGAAATTTTCCTCTTGTTCATCAGGCTGACAGTCAAAGCCAAGCAGGCCTGCTTGGTGAGAGTGTTCTCATTTATCTGGCTGGTGCCATCATAATTACCTTAATATAAAAATCTGGTTTTGTGTGTGTCTCTCACCATTTAAACCTGATGACTTCCCTTGGATATTTGAACATTTTGGTTCAAATCTATGCCTCTTTGGGCTGAAACTGGTCTTGAGAGAGCAGGTCTATAATTTACTGAAGAAATCTGACTGGCAGTTATGACTGGAGGTTATTGACACGTGCTACTAGTTTTAATCTCTGTCTTCAAGTCCAGACCTAGCCCAGGGCTCACATCTGATTTATGTTCCCTTGCCACAGGGAGAGGAGATTTGAGGTGACCAGGGGACCCTTCCCCAGTGGGTGGCTCCATGATCCCTCCAGAGGTTGGGAATACTCCCACATGCTCACAGCAGCAATAGGTTTCCTCAAGCCTCACTCCTCGCTGTACTTCTTTGCGTTCCTCTTAATTAGCGGGGGAGTAATTCCAAGCTATTCAAGTTACTTGGCATCTCCTACCTCCTCCACGATCAGCTTCCCTGATACAGTTCATGCCTGTAATAAGCATCGAGTTTAGCTTGGCAAGCCTTTCATTCCCACACTGCTCTTGCCTGCACACCTCCTAGAGTCACTTCCTAAACTTCCAGCCTCCCATGCCATCAGGTCCAGGATGAACCTCCAGCTAGCTGTGCTCCCAGACACACAAGGAAGGCTGATCCTTTGGCTGCATGGCAGTCCAGGCGACCCTGAAGCACTTCTTGAGACCATTTTCCTCTGAGCAATGGCCTGAGGCCAACATAAGGAGCTTTAGCTTCAGGAGTCACTGTAGTAGCAAGGAAACTCAACCCTCCTCTTCCTCACCAAGATAAAGGAGATGCAATTCAAGCCAGTGAGGATCTGCTCATGCAGGCAGTTTCTCTTGCTGCCAGAAGCATTCAGAAAACAAATAGGTAACAAATGTTCTGATTCCACAAACACCTTCCTCTCCCTTGTGTACACTGTGTATATATATATACATATGTACAATTAAGTGCCAGACTGACAGTGTAAAAGAAAAAGCACTTCCTGTTATTTACCAAGCTGGTACAATACAGGAAGCAGCAGAGTAAGCTTCTCCCTCTTGGGCTGTCAAATCAACAGTCCAGAGGACACACCTTCAAGCATAAAGTTAATGCATTTTCTATTTTTTCATCTCCCATGCTAAGGATCTAAGAATTAAACCTTTTACAGAGAGCAGTGGACTGTTATAAAGTTCCCTAATTCAGTATTATTCTTACCATGTGAGGGTTGCAAAATTTCATTTATATGAAAACTGAGACCCGGAACCTCCCAAAATTCAACCACTTCTCACCAACCCAGTTTCAACCCAACTCAGTGTTCTAACTGCATATTCCTCACCAACAATCTTAATCCCATCCTTTGTCTGCATGGTGTGGTCTGTGCCATTTTTATGTGCCTGTGGTAGCTCAAATTAGTGTGCATGGTTCTAGTTATTATTTACTTTCAAAACATTTCATCAGAGGATGTGTCTGATTCAGGACTGAAAAAGCCAGGCCACTAAATGAGGACAGTGCTTAATGAAGTAGCAGTGAAACATCATGCTTTAAAGGTGTCTTGCACGGAAATAGATTCCATACTCTATCCTCAGTCCTTCCAAGGTCAAAAACAGTAATTATGAGAATGGAGCTAGGAGAAGGACAGCAATGGGTTGGGATTTTTTTTGCATAGGGCAGCAGCAAAGCCAGCAAAGCCCCAGCAGTTCAGTCATCCTCTGGGCAACACTGTTCCTTGCCAGGCACTTTCTGTTTACTCCTGAGCAGTTACATATTGATGGGTGGGTCACATAAGAAAAACACAACTGGACTTTTTTTTACTGGATAGAGACACAGCTCTGCAATTTCTCAAGAGCTACAGGGATGGAGTGCTGACAGCTGCTGCTACACCAGGCAAGGTGTGAGGGATTGCAGGTGAAGGATCAGTGCTCTCCTAAAAAAGGCTCAAATTAATGGAAAGGGTTCTCTCAACCCCAAGTTCCCTTCAACTGATCTGACCAGACCCAGGAACCACAGGCAAAAACCATCTGTAATTTATGGTTTAAGGTTTAATTCGTTGGCTGTGCTTAAGAAAAGCAGGGAGCACCTGTGAGCCACCTGTGTTGGTAATGGGGCCAGCAGCAGTGCACTGCTGGAAGGGACTGAGTGTTACAGCCCAGCTGCCTGTGCTTGTTGGGTTTCTGCAGGAGTCTGACATGGCTGCTTGTGCCCACATCCTGCTGCAGCCTGCTCTGCTGCCTGGGGAAGAGGAAGGAGCGCAATCAGAAAAGAGGGCAGCAACAAAGAGCTGCCTCTGAGCCAGCAATGCATGCCAGCTACTGCCTGTCTCGACACAGGAGACCTTCAGCCTCCTCAGAGAACAAGGATTCTTGACAGACTCACTCCCAAATCCACTCCTGTGGGTTTCAGATGAGATCCCCAGCCTCAGAAAGCTTGTCTTGCCCATCTGCCATACAGCACTCTGGAAACAGTGTCCGTGGGCTGCTAACAGAGATCTGGCTCGGTCTCCTGACAATAAAATGCCAGTTTCAGCTGTGTCCCCTCACTGCCCTCCCTTCACCAGTCCTGTCTGCCCAGGCTGTGACTCTCCAGGGGGACTCCTACCTAGTGATCTGCTGTCACGGCAGAATTCATGTGCTATTGTAGGATGAAACAACTTGCCAAAAAACACACAAAAAGAACAACGATAGCAAGTTCCCAAAGGTTAGGAGAGGCCAGAGGGTTTTTTCCATACAATCTTTTATAAATTTTCCTGCTGGGCAAGGCAAAGCCTTTAAATGCACAGACAGGACCCCAGCTCCTGGTGGGCACAGGTAACACTGGAGGTACACAGGGCCCTTGTGTGGCAAGGCACACCCTGGCACAGTGACATCACCCACACATGGCCTTCTACTGGGCACTATTGGGAGGCTGTACTGGGAATCTGTCAGGCTGGTGGGCTGTGTTTGGGGCAGCAGACTGCAGCCAGAGTCAAAATCCAAACACACAAAGGTGTGGGTCAGCTCCTCACTCCTGCCTCCCCTGTCAGAGCTGTGGTGCTTCATGGTACATCTCAGCTGCAGCTGAAGGCAGAAAGAGCCGTCAGTTTGAGTTTCCTCTTGTGCTCGTAGGCTGAAGCAGCCCTGTTCCTCAGAGCCTGATCTCCTGCAGCTTCACTATCTGATTCTCCTTCTTTTGAGCCTCCCTTAGGCACTCCTTGGTGAATAAGCTCCTTTTTCCATCCCACAGGGCCAGGCAGTGGTACAAGGGCCATTCCAGCAGGCTGGACTAATTATCTCCATTTTTATTATTATTTGTGGAATGCTTACATTTATCATGGGGGTGCTTAGGGCCAGATCCCTGTGTCTGGGATTGCGCTTTCTGCTCCAGGTTGTGGCCAGAGACCTCAGTCTTGGTCGCAGCACCCAGACCTTGCCCCACAGCACTGCTCTCTGCCCTCTATACAGTCACAATTTCATGAGTTTGCCTTCAGCAAAACTGGCCCACCTCCCAGCATGCACAGTGGCATGAGTAAGAGCTGAAAGTCCTCAAGTGAACATTTTGGGAACTTCCCAAGCTGGGTGATACTGGGCTTTGGCTGGTGTCCTGCACATGCATGCCCCACCATACTACCCACCTGGTACTGCTGAAATGTCACCAGCACTGCTCAGTGCAGCACAGCAGTGCAGACTATTTAGGGCAGGGTTAAGTTAGTTCAGATATAAACATCAACCAAAATAAGCTTCTCCTTCAGCTGCTATAAACCTGCCACCCCTGGCCTTTGAATGCCATTTTTACTTCTGTGGACACTTTGCACAGCCTGGTTTTGCCCAGAGGTACACCACAAATCCTGCTCCCACTTTTGTGGGATCAGGGCTGGTCTCAGAAGATCTTTTGGGAGGTGTCTGCAGGCAAGAGAAGGTCAAAAGCTTTATCTTAGCAGCTGCAGACATCCCTCATTGAGTCCCTCAGGTAAAGAACTGGTTAAAATTTCTCATCCTCATTCAATATAATTCAATACTAATGCTTGCAAGATTTTACAGCAGTAAGTCCAATGAGAGAAATAAAAGCTGTCAGAAATAGCAGTTGAGAGGGGATTGTCTGTATTTCACACATCACAGGGTGCCTTTTGTGCAGGAAGGAAAAGGCTTCTGATGCTTCACTCACTACAATCCATCTTGCTGCAGATGGGCCAGGTGTTGTCTGCAATACCTCCTTCCTTGCAGAAATCAAGCGTAGCTCCAGCTTGTGACAGCACAGACTCGCCAGCAGCTCTGTCCCCTGCCTGCCAAGCCTGAAGAAACCAAATAACCACAGTCTCAGGCTGCAGATGCTCCAGCACTAATGCCCCACTGAAGGAACCAAAGCCTCCCTCCTTTTCCCTTTCACCCTTCAGTGTGTCCCTAGAGGCAGTCCCCCCAATGCTCTTGCATTCTGTCTCCTGTAGAGGAGCTTGGATCTGGGTTTCCTCCTGTTCTTTCCCCTTGCCTACTCCTCCTGTTGGTTTCTCCCTGAGCAGTCATGCACATTACTGCAGCCATCAAGGAGGAGATGATGCTGTTGAAGTCAGAACATAACCCCATGTACCTTTTAGCTTTGCAGATAAGCATTTTCATCCCACCTTGAAGGGGAAAACTCTGCTGGGATGGTGTAAACAAGGAGGTCTAGCTCATATGAAAATAAATCTAGATCTCTTTAGTCAGGGAAGAGCAAAATCCTTCCCTTGAATGGATTTGTTCCCCCTGAAGAGCTGATGGTGCTGAAGGCAGAACAGTACTGCAGGGCAGGCTGGCAGTGGCTGTGAGCTCCAGGATTACGAGTCCCCTTGGGACCATGGCCATGGAGGAAAGCTCGGCCTCATGTGATGGGCACCATGGAAGAATGGGCTGAACTACTGCAGATTCCACAGTTAGATCATGGGGGCTTCCCAAGCAGATTGCTTCACTCACTAGCAGACCAGTCCCAAAAAAATGTTGTAACGTGTGTGTCCATGGCTGTGACTTGCACCCTCCTGTCCCTTGCTGAAAGCTCTTAGTCCTTTCCTACCACTCAGGTATGGTTTTCTCCACCAGCTTTCCCCACCAGCTCTCCATGGATAAGAATGCACGCCACAAGACCCACATGAGAGTTGGGAAGGATGGGGATAAGCAAAGCTGTCTCCCAGCTGGGGTGAACTTGTTCCATCAGGTCTTCAGGACCCAGGGAGCTGGCAGCAGCAAGTGCTCCTGGCCCATTGCCCCTGCAGCAGCAGCATTCCAAGCAATGCCAAGTGGATAGACTGAATCAGCACTGATTGGGAATGTAATTTCTTGTGAATTCAGTCCTCCCATCTATCCCTTCCCTGCAGTTTCTCATGCTGCTTCAGGAACTCTTCCTCAGGCTATTTTTAGTACCTGGTTACATCACTGCCAGCATCTGCTGCTTTGAAACAGGCAGCGGCTGCAAACATCCAGGCATCAGCAACCGTGAGCTGTAAGCTTGTAAGGATGGGAGCTTTATCACTCAGCCAGCAGACAACACGGCTGCACTAGGCAGCTGCTGGATGGAGCCTCTCAATCGTGTCCAGCAGACAGGAGGAGCACCCTGCCACAAGAGCCCCTGCTTCCCTCAGGACCAGGGGATGCTTTCTGACAGCACTGCCATTGCCTAGCTGTGCAATACCAAGCAAGTTAATTAATCCTCTGTGCTTCTCCTCTTTCTAAAGAGAGCGTTTATGCTGACCTACTTCTTATAGAGAAATTTGCAAAGGGTTTCAATGCCCGTGATGAGCAACTGGCACCAAAAGCACTAATTATGCCAGCTGTTCACAGAACCCAGACCACTGCTGAGCCAAAACAAGAACATCATGGCTCTGGAGCAAGTAAAAGAGAAAGCTGCTATGGCAGGGAAGTCATGATTTCCAGCCTGACAACTGGCTCGTGCTTTTGGGCTAGAGCAGTTCATGTGCTGACCAGCCACGTGGAAGGGTGGCTCAGCTTGTAAGGTGGCACAAGCAGCCACGTGGCAAAGAGGAAACTTCACCTGTCACCTCTTTGCAAAGAGGACATGGGGGTCCCTGCAGCCCCTGGGTGGACAGCTGTGGGCAGCTTTCCCAGGGCAAGTGATACAGGCCTGGGGCAGCAAGGAGGGGCAGGGGATCTCCATCGAGCCATGGGCATGCCAGAGAGGCTGCAAATGCTTGGCATGCCTTCCCAGGCATGCTGATGCTGCCACAGTGTGTACCAGCACCTCTGGGGCCCTGCAGGGGCTGCCTGAGCCACAAGGTGTTTTAACCTCTCTCCTCCCCACCTCTCCATCTCAGAACTTCCCTGGTAGCCGGCTACAGAAATCTGTGCCAGAACCATAAACAGAAATTAGGAAATAAGGGGATCTAAACTCTTCAGCAGCCTTACCCCGGGGCATCCTGTCTCTAAAGTCATTCTCTGCTCTCCTCCTGTATCCCAGCTGGCCAAAATCCCTCTCCCAGAAGCATCTGGCCAGAACAAGGGCTGGAGCTCTTAAGGAGGAAATTCTGAGTTAAATTCCTTCCTCCCGAGTCATTTGCAGAAGGGAACAGCATGTTCTCCCAGAACAGAGATGACATCTTGCTGGCCTCCTGCTGCTCTCCAGCTGCCTGTCAGCACGGGGCTAAGGCTCTCCCAGTGAGGCAGCAGCAGGGGTTGGCCAATGGAGAAGGACTGGAGGGTGTATCATGGTATATCCTGGTGCCTCTGCCTGGGGAAGGGCTGGCAGGGGGTGCATTGTCAGCAGCATAGGGCAAATATCTCATCAGTAAAGCTCAGCATCCCCCAAAGGGGAGAGGCTATAGAAGGTCATCAGAGAATTGCAAAGATTCTCTCCATCTCCCAAAGGAAAAACAGGAGGTTGCAGATTATGTGTGAGCCCAGGATAAAGCAATTATCACAAATTCACAGAATAATAGAATATCACTGAGAAAGGGACCCACAAGGATCATCAAGTCCAACTCCTGATCTTGCACAGGACAACTCCAGAAAGTCACACCATGTGCCTGTGCATGGGGCACTTTGTGATCTCTGGCAGCTTTGGTGCCATTACCACTTCCCTGGGGAGCCTGTTGCAGTGCCCAACCACCCTCTGGGTGAAGAACCTTTTCCTAACATCCAAACTAAACCTCCCCTGACACAGTTCCATGCCATTCCCTTGGGTTCTGTCACTGGTCATCACAGAGAAGAGATCAGTGCCTGCCCCCCTGCTTCCCCTCAAGAGGAAGCTGTAGGTCACAATGAAGTCCCCCATGTCTCCTCTTCAGTTATTAGTAAGGGCTCAATAACAAAACCCAGAATTAAGCAGAAGAACTGAAGCCTCATCCAGTGCAAAACCACAGCTATATGAAGGCTGTGAGCCCCATCCCAATTCATACCAAGTTCTCCTGAAATTCAGGAATACTGAAACAGTTAAAGCAGCCCAAGGAAGCTGTTCTGTATTTACACTGAGCTGCTTAAAAAGTAAACACGGTGTGAGGGCGTGCAGGCTTGCCAGCAGCTGTCACTGACCTCAAAATCAAAGATGCTGTGGGCTGATCCAAAGTAGGGCAGGATTCATAAGCTGAGTGAGTGCAGCAGCTGTGCTGGAGATGGGAGGAATGTGAGCTGTGTCTGGCATGGAGCAGGGCAGATGCCCCCCTTCCTAGGCCAATCTGTCAGATGGGTCATGGAGATGATGAAGTTTTCTGAAAAAAAAAACATTCCTGATGATTTTCCCTGTCTCTCATCTCAGAGATGAGGCAAATGCTGCCCTGATCTGGGCAATCTGTGCAGGGATTATTAAACCAAACTGTATTTGGGCCAAGGTTAATGAAAGAGCCTGTAAAATCCTCCTGGCTGCTGTGTTTTGGTTCCCTCATTGCAAGCGGCTTGGCTCTGTGCCAGTGGGGAGGCACAAGGCCCGTGAGGTGCACACGTGCTGGGAGACACAGGGAGCTGAAGGGGCTGGCACTGGCTTTCCCATCCTTGGGAAGCTGACAAGAGGCTCACTTCATGCTTGCTTGTGAAGCCTATGGCACACCTCTGCTGACAACTGGCAGGGGGACACAGTCTGTGTGGCTCAGCCAGAGCACACTCGGAGCGGCTCCAGTCCTATTTGCCCTATCCCCAGGCTTTTGGAGCACAGCTTGTCATGGTTGGTGCCACAGAATCAATCCACAGTCGATTAACATCATAGACAGAGCACCCACGACACGTGCAGGTTCCCATCCAGGAGAGCTTTCCTTCAACCTCTGCAGAATCCCAAATCCTGCGTCTCTATTTGGGCAGCTTCAAGGCAGCCTCACTCTTGTGGGCTGCCCTGGGGAGGATGGGAAAACACACTTAGAGTCTTTCACCCCTTATTTAAGGTGAACAGAGAAGTTCTTCTAAGTGTGAATTTGTGGTTCTTCATTTTCCTGCCTTATCACTGAGGGCTTTGGAAAGGGTGAAGTGGGGACATCACAGCATGAGCTTACACATCCCCTGACAGACTCCTTATCACTGTAGCAGTTTCCAGCATCTCAGTTAAAACCAGTAAGTCTGCAACCATCAATGCAAAGAAAAACTAGGAACAATGGCACAGCAGTCCTAAGGGCAATAAGGTTTTCTTCTTCTATCAGCTTGAGGCTTCCCAGAGCCTGCTGCCTAAATCTGCAGGGAAACCCAGGCTCTCCAATCCCAGCCTCTTCCCCAGGGCTCTCACCAGGGTGCTTCCCCTCCAGTGCCAGCACCTCAATAAATACTGGTTGTTCCCATCAAATTTCACTCACACTGGTGATGCCAGCCCTGCTGGCGAGTGATCAATTCCCTATTCACTGAGTCATGGAAATTCATCCAAAATCACCCCAGATCCATAGAGACAGGCTCCTTAAAGTGTCCTAGGAGGTTCAAGGCAGAGCTTCTGTGGTGGCCCATGGTCTGGAGATGCAGCACCATTCTTGATATATCAGCCGTCTGCCCTCATCCTGCATGGCAGGTCCATGAGGAGCTACTGCAGTTGAGATAAGCAGAGCCCATACCCCATCTTTTGTCTCTTCAACATCCTCCCTTCAATAAGGCACAATTATCTGTTTACTTAAGAACAAGGATAATTAACCACCCAAATGGTGACCAAGGAATGTGAGAATCACAATAGTCCCTATTATGGAACACATCCACTTAATGGAGATCATTGTTCTTCCTGGCCTTAAAAACCTGGCAGCACATCCCAGAACTTTCACCCACTTCGACTGGCATCAAAATCCCACAGGGAACTGGTATCCCTCAAGGACAGCACTGGGAAACAAGGCTAGCTAGTCCACACTCTCCGTGGCAAGACCAGAGCAGGGCAAAACCACCAGCTTGCTAACATTGCTGTTCCACATAGGAATCGGTACTAAAGGTTTCCCAACCCAGAAGATCACTGTGCAAATTTGAATGCTGTAAATATTTGACTTTCATCTGCAATTTAACCCCGCCTGCATGCAGCTGAAAGTAATTTCTCAGTAAAAAGCTGACTTCACTGTGCCTCAAGTTAGGAGCTGCACTACCAACCCCCAAACTCTGCAGAGACTGCGATCAAGCAGACATCCCTGGCACCCCAGTGCTCATTGTCAAGGTCAGCTCAGTCCCTGCCATCATTTTCCATGTCCTTAACTTCCCAGGTGTGGATTTGTGTTGAGGACAAGGAGACCAAAGGCCCCATAATTTCTGCTGACTCTGCCATCCTATCAGAGCTGCAGGCTTTGCTCATCCTGCTCCCCACCTTGCAGCCATGCTGAGGATATTTATGTCACTGGGCCACACTTGTGAGATGCTGGTGGTGTCATTCAGCTGCCTTTGGCGGACACAGCAGCCACCTGTGTTTACCCATTCCCATCTTGTGCTGGCACATACATGATTACAGCTTTCAGTTTGAGCCACCCATCTATTTATAGCAAACGCCTTTGAGCAATGTGCTGACGCTTCCTAGGAGTGTTGCTGTGCCAGGCCAGCCAGCCTGGCACCTCCTCGTCAGAGATGGCTGCATGCTGACTGTAGGTGCACCTACACAGCAAGAAAAGCTCCTATGATGCTCTCCCTGCCATCCATGACACGCTTAAAAGGCTCTGAAGGCACGCTTGGGAAATATGCTGTGTTCTGCTAATATGCAACTGAAGCATGGAACACCAAGAGACTGCATTGTCTCTGTCCATCAGGACAGGGATCTGCCATGCTGCCCAGCTGCTCACAGCTGCTGTGGAGCAAGGTCACAGCCTGAACAGCTCTGCTCTGCAGTTCCAGGACAGTGGGAGCCAGGCAGTGGGGCCTGACACACAGCAGCAGGAGTTTGGGGGTCAGTACTTGGAGGACAGAAGAGATGTGAGTGAGCAGCAGAAAGGGATGCTGTGATGAGATTTGGTCAGAAGCACCCTCAGAGCTATTGCCATCAAGAATAAAAGGAGGAGACAGCCCCAGACAAGCTCACCCACCCACTCCCATTTCCAGAGCCGTAAGGAAATGTTACACAACCATTCCAGGAGGCTCTCTGCTGACGTCATGCCTGGGCAAGAAATGGTAAGAGCTGGGCACATGTAATCAGGAGCAAACCCTATTTATAGCACCATATAATAAGCTATATCTGAGAGAGAAGATGAAAGGGAAGATGAGTCAACAGGGTAAACGGGAATGAACTTTCCTCCTAGCGGGGCAGTCAGTTCATGTAATGAGAGACATTACTGGGAGAGCTCTCCCCAGCAGCATTACTTCCAGTGGATAAAGGCTGACAGCCATATCCTGCTCAGGACACATCCAACTCCCACAGAGGCAGCCCTCAATGCACCCCTGGGGAGAGAGGCAGGCAGCTATTCAGTTATGGTTCTTCAGCTTCATCCTTCTTATCAGCTCCTGACTTTCTCCTTTCTGGAGGTGGGGAGAAGCTGGGGGCTTCAGCATGCCCTGACTCATCCTTCCTTGTGCACCCATGCCATTTGCAATGTTCCTGTGGGATTCTGTGACCTCATCCAGCCATCAAGAGCTCACACAAGGAGAGACGACATCTAAGGAGGACCGCATCTCAGGAGAGGGGATGTCTGCCCCTAATGCAGCATAACCAAGATTAGCTCCAGAGAAAAGCAATCCTGAGCTTGGCTGGTGGAGCATGTGCTCCAGTGAAGCAAGGGTTAACCATTGGCAAGGGTCTCCTTGGACACAGCCCTAGAGACCACCAAGTCCCCTCGCCAGCTCAGCAAGCAGTCCCTGCCCAGCCCAGTCACTCATAACATAACATGATGTTATTTTTAGCCTCCTCACTCAGCCTTTCATTCTAAAGCCACCCATGAGAAACATTTCCATTTTATCATGAAAACAACTCTGCTGCAAAAATAAATTATGATGACATCAAAGTGCTAAAATAAAAGGGGGAAAGAAAGACCTCCTTACACCCGGGAGCAAGGAGGGCAGAAGGGTGGCTCTGCTTCCTCCCAGCAGGATGGACACACAGAAATCTCCTGAAGCTCTTTCAGAACAAAATAACAGTGCAGCAAATGAGAAAAGCACGTTAAAATGAGAGAGGAGAGCTGCAGGATGAGTGGATACACTGGCAGCGATGCAATGAGCCCTCATGGGGCAGATGGATCTCCTCCATCCAGGCTGGGGTGGCTATGCCTGGATTTCACCAGGGTGCGTTCCAGGGTAAAGTCTGGTTGCACATTGCCCCCACTCTGAATCCCCAAGAACTAATGAACACCAGCCCTTGGCTCCTTGCACCTTTCCAGGTCATGAGGAACATGCTCTAGTTAATGCCAGAATTTTTGCTAACCCATGGCATTGGGAATGAAATGTTTCTGGGGTGTAAAAATAGCTGCAGGCATGCTGGGATCAAGGAAGGGGTGCAGCCAGCACCGTCATCCTGCTGCTGTGCCAGCTAACAGCATGTCCCACCTCCCTCACCTGGCAAAAATGGGAACACCCCAAGCATGGGCAGATGCTGGGGTCACCTCAACCTCTGTACAATCCCCCGTGCACTGGAATGCTGGGGGATGTCCTGGTGAGACCCTCTGTGTTCTTTCCCATCCTCGAGACCCCAAGGAGCAGCTGCTGCATCACAAACAGCCATACCATGCATACCAGTCCCAGGCCCCAACACCTGCCCATGCCAAGCTCAGGGCAGGCAGCAGAGATGCCCTTCTGCTCTCATGACAGCCACAGGCACCAGAGCCCTTAAATGAGGGCAGAGGAAGAGCCAAGAGCCTGACCTCCATTTGACACCACAGTGGGTGAAACCCAAACCTCAGCCCACAGTGTCCATTACCTAATTAATGGGTTATAATATGCCTGAGGAAATAAACCTTTCCCAACCCAGTGGCAAGGGCTCTTGCAGGAGAGAGGAGGCAACACACATGTCCCCACACCAGTATTCTCTTGTATACACAACTGGGCAGGAGCAAGTTCTGGGTTCAGCTGTGCTGGTTTCAGCAATTCAAAGCCTTCAGCCCTCTGCAGAAACTGCAGGGGAAGAAATCCCTAGAGGATTAAGGCCCACTGCCTGGACCCCCAGGACATCTCCCACCACCCTCATAGCACAGGGAGGGGGAACAGACAAAATTGGCTGTCAGCTGCCAATGTTCTGGGGAGAAACCACACAGAAGCCACCCCCTAGGCTGGTGACGCACAGAGCAAAGCCCAAACCGTCTGTCCCAGCACACTCACAGCTCTTCCCAGCGTGGGGTCCTGCATGCCCCGAGCTAAGCAGCTAAGCAGGGACCATTTAATTGTGGTTTATGAGACATCCCACTGTGCTGATGCAGAGGGAGGCAATGGTGTCCCATACAGGCTCGTGATCCCAACAGATGTGACATCACCTCCCTGCTGTGCAGCTCAGTGTGGACTGGGCTGTGCTTGCTTCTCTCAGGGCAGCTTGAGTCAAAGATGTAATGATTTTCCAGGAAAAATCCCTGCAATGCTCCTCCTCCACAGCCATCTGATGCTGGAGCCTGCCAATGGCTTCTCACAAGAACTCACCTGCTCCAGGGTCCTCTGTCCTGGGCAGCCAAGTAGGGCTGAGTCAGTTATTTTTGGAAAATGTTGCAGATTTACCTGGATGGGAAATGAATGCCAAATTACGCTGTCTCCCTCCTTCCCCCTGCCCCACCTCTATGCATCAGGGCTGGCACCCCTCAGCTCCCTGTTTCTGTTAGCAATTAACTGTACTTAGTGGAAGGTCAT